TATAAACAAGTATTTAAGTAATACTGGCTTCGGAAGAACCTTATATTCTTTCTTAAATCGAAATGACATGACCGCAGGAACTAAATTAAGAAGAAAAAGGACTTGTATTCATTTTCCACCACTGGGAAACTTGGCCTGAGAAGCATGTGACAAAATAGTGTGGCACAGAGACCAAGAGCCTCCAGCCAAGCCCTAAAAATGGAAGCCATCATGCCCCAGTTTCACCCAGTGGCTTTACTCCACCTTAAATTTTATTATATATTAAAGCATGACCGAGAATGGAGCTTTTGGTCTCAGGGCTCAAATGGAAATAACATCATACAGCAGTTCTATTACTTATTGAATGGTAACTCAAGTAAATCAGCTCATTGTCCTTTACGTTCTCTGTACTTTTAGCTGGAGTCTTGCAAGTTCTTAGAGATGTACAACTGAGCAGTTTTTCAACCATATTATAAGCAGGTTAAAGTTCCATTATGTCATTTGTAGGTGTGAAAAATAATAAAATAAAACCATTTCTAAAACTGGAAGTGCACGAAGTGTCTGTGATTAAAATCAGATGCTACAGACGTAATGGAAGTGTGTGGGGGGGTGCTGGAAGAGTTAGACAGGCTATTCCTGGTTTTTAGAACAGGAGCTCAGAGCAGAAAATGTAAAGAGCTGTGGAAAATGCAGGGCTGGTAATAAAGAATTAACCTTAGATTTGTCCTTGCCTTGGACCTGATTGGAATTGTCCCCACTTACCTCAGAGCTTTCCTCCCATTGTAAATAGCAAGGCCGGGGTGGGGCAATTCCAATCAGGACTGCAAGAGCGACAAAAGGGTTGAAGTCCCCTGCCCAGTGCCTCTATTCCATGTCCCTTCCCCACACTTGCTATTGAATTAAAAAAACAGGTATGCACTGCCAAGTAGGTGATAAACTTCATATCTAGTTTGGTTCTTACATATCCTCTTTTCAGCATTACTATAGATCATTCATTGCAACACAGTATCTTGATTTTTCCCCCTATAAGGAATTTATGTTAATGACCTATGTCAGAGGGATAATACAAGAAGCATTTATTCACTGCAAAATACTTTGCAGACTGAAAAAGATTTACTTACTTACTTACTTACTTACTTAATTAATTAATTACTGTTGGTGCATGTGATAGTGTGCTCTTGTTGTTTAGTCCTGATAGTTTGAAAAAAGACACTATTTTTATTTTTAGAAATGGTCTCATTGTGGAAACTTGCATCTGAAAAATGATATAAACTACTCTTTGCATCCCACCTGAGAAATTTCAGCACTGAGCTCATGAGGAGGCCATTTCTGTATGAATTTTGCTTTCAGTGACCAGGAGTAGAGACATAAAAAGGCTATTCACCATCTCTGGTTAAAGAGATAAGTGAAAGAGTCATTGGCATTAACTCTGTAGTAATAGCAGCAATAAGTACTAGGTCTGATTTAAATCTCTTGATAGTGATACTTGGAGGCTGGAATATTTATCACACCATTAGGAGAGGCTGTGCTCAGCTGATAAGATGTCTACATCCGATGAAGTCCACCTGAGGACTGATGATGCTGGGAGAGATTTATTGCCATCCATGGCAGATAGGCGAGTGCACTGCCCTTAAGAGCAGTTGGTGCCATTCATCTGACAAATTATACAATCAGCCGCCTGGGGCAAGCTTGTGGGATCTTTAATAGCTACAGAAGGTGAATACACACAAGTGTGTGTGTATATGTTTCTGGTTGGATAACCAGTCAGGAAAGCAACAATTTTGCTGAGTATCAGGCAGAGAAGAGTGAGAAAGAGTAAAATGGGAGAACAAATTAATTCCATGAGTTATTTATCTGTGTATTTCCTTCCTAGGCCAGACTTGTGCTAAAGAAATGAAGTCATCCAATTCTCCTTACTGCTATCAAATGACAGAAAGTCCAGGCGTTCTGACTGCTGGGAGGGAGGCAATATATTGTATGACAATCAGATTTAAGAAAATTAGTTTTCTCTGACCTCACCCTTTCCTCCCTTTCACCTGAAGCCTTTTTCACTTTATGGGTCAGGTCTAGTGTGTTCCCTTTGTTGTTAGAAAAGAAACCTGAATCCTGTTCTCTTTAAAACCCCTGGATAGTTATGAGATTGTTTTAAAAACCATTAGATATCAAGTTCTAGGCACCATCCTTCCCAGGTTTTAGGCACCAGGTCAAAACATTTTTATTTCAAAAACCCTTTGGGCCATGAATGCTGTCTGAATGCTCTTTTCTCTTATGTTTTAATTTGTGCATTTAATTCTGTAATTTTAATTTTTATTGTTTCTGTAAGCCACTTTGGAGAATGCAGGTGGCGCTGTGGTCTAAACTACTGAGCCTCTTGGGCTTGCCAATCAGAAGGTTGGCGGTTCGAATCCCTGCAACGGGGTGAGCTCCCGTTGCTCGGTCCCAGCTCCTGCCAACCTAGCAGTTCAAAAGCATGCCAAAAGTGCAAGTAGATAAATAGGTACTGCTCCGGTGGGAAAGTAAACGGCGTTTCCGTGCGCTGCTCTGGTTTCCGTTGTGCCAGAAGCGGCTTAGCCATGCAGGCCACATGACGCAGAAAAACTGTCTGTCGACAAACGCTGGCTCCCTCGGCCTGTAAAGTGAGATGAGCACTGCAACCCCAGAGTCGTCTGCGACTGGACTTAACTGTCAGGCGTCCTTTACCTTTACCTTTTTTTAAGCAACTTTGAGACATGTGGTGAAAAGTGGGATATAAGTTTTTTAAACATATAAACATTTATTTATTGTGCCCCCATATATTGTCTGAAATTCACCTGGCATAGTTCATAGGAATGAAAAAAGCTGAAGGGGCTGCATTGAGAACTGTGTGCTACTATCTGGTGCCATAACTGGAAAGCAGTTTTTGAACCACTGGGATACAAGCTAAATGAATATGAGTGATCTAGAAGAGGAGACAATAAAGAATCTGCAGAGTTGCATTAATAGTACAGTGATATAATTCAGCACTGCCTGGATTGGCTACTTACCCCTAGGCGATGCTTGCCTGGCCATTTTCCCAGTACTGGCCCAGCTGATTATTATTTTCCCCTTGTCCTCCTTATAGAAAACCAGCTTCAGTTCAGGCATCACATTCTAGGATGGAACTCCCACAGCTCATGTAGTTCAGCCACTTGCCCTGCAGCAGGCTGCTTAACAACACCAAACACAATTTTATCTGCATCTTTTAAAAAACAAAGTGACCCACATAAACAGATTCTTGGAAGTAGCTGCATTCAAAAGGGCCTTCTGTACATTAGAAAGAGGAATAGATCAAAACGATTCAAGAGCATAAAGATTTGGGGAAGTATATTTTTTTATCGTCCGAAAGGAAAGAAGCAGCCCCTGCAAAGTAAACCATAGAAGAGATGTTAATATTTTGTTTTAATGTACCATCACGTTAAAAGCTATTTTGTTTATGGGCATTACTTTTTAACATTACTCTGGGTGCTTCCAGGCAGGAGCTTAACATTCCCAATGCACATCCAGATATTGAAAATGTATCATTGGCAACAGGTCTTTTATGATTCATCAGATTTTCCCTTGAAAGGGTAAATCTGGATTAAATGAGGGCAGGGTGAATACAGGCTGGCATTTTGAAGCTGACAATGTGTAGATGTTACAAAAAAGCTTGTATGTATGATCAACACTCATTGGGGGCAGAGCATATGGGACAAGTGCACATGGCAGTGTCGGGGTAAAGGCAGTATGTACGACCACTGTGCCTCCTATTCCTTCTCTCCCTCCTCCACTTTTGGGCATAACGTTCAACGTTAATGTAATTTATAAGGGTCTTTCATTAATGGAGCTTTCTGATCTTCTCCTTGACTATGCTGCTCTTATATATTTATTGTGTTAAATGATTTGAGTTTTGTTTTCATTATAGTTTTCATACCATGGGGTGCTGTGAAAGTCTGAAAGGATATTCCAGGCTCTGCTCTGTGTTCTGGTGCCAAAGGTAACAGGAGTATAAAATAGGGCCTTCTCTGTGGTAGTACCCTCTCAAGAGGTGTTCAACTGGCCCCTCTGTTTTGGGTGAACAGTCAAGACTATTCCTCCCCCCCCCAAGCTTTTAATGGTCCTTAACTGTATGTCAACATTGCTGGGTTTTGTTTGTTTATTTTTAAAGTGATTTTATGGTTCTCAGTTTTCACCGCATGGGGGTTGTATTTTTATTGTTGTGAACCACCGGGTCCAAAAGATAGTTTTAAATTGTTTCTATAAATCAATAAAATCTCTGTAGTACAGGATAGGGAAACCTGTGGCCCCTACATTAAAGTTTAACATTATGCCCAAACCCGTGTTGGACTGCAACTCATACTGGCTTGGTCTAGTGGAAAGTCAAACAAAATCTGTCTAAAGATGCTGAGTCTAGGAGAGACGAAGATCTCTTCAGCCATGTAAGTCACTGACCTTGGGTCAGTCATTTATAGTCACCAGGGCTGCTATGAGGATAAAATGCAGAGCAGAAGAACTGTGCATGCCATCTTTAGCTCTTTGGTGTAACAGGGGGATAAAAATGTACTAACAAATAAATGATGAGTAGGACACTAACAGTTAAAAAAAATAAGCAAATATAGATTTGTGCCTTGGGCATGCAAAACCAGTAGACATGCTGTTTAATGGTTTATAACATAGCTGGCCAGAAATAACCAAATGTGACCTGGAACACAGGAGTCCCAAGCCAGGTCTTTTTGAGGCCTAGTGTCAAAACACAGTACTTTTGAGTGGTTGTTGGAGTCCCATTACCCTGGAAGGGCACACTAAACTTTACATCTGTTCTGGGTCTCTATGCCAAGAGCTGCTATTTAAATGTCTCAGAGTCTCTTTGAGCAACAATACATCGGGCACTCTGAGGCATTGTGGGAAATTTAACAAGATTGTTCATCATTTCCTGCTGCTGTTACTGCTGGTTAAGCTTTCAACTAGGGACTCACCAGAAACAGGAAGTGGCTCTCTTAAAATTCCTCACTCTGGAGAAGTCATGCTGAAGCCTAGCATAAGCTTTTAAAGCTGCAGCCTTAATTAAAAAAATGGTTGTTTTTATTAAAAACAAGGCAGAATAGATGATATCCTTCAACCTTCATTTGACTCAGGTAACAGAACAAAGGCCCAGGCCTTGCCAAATCAATAAGCCTTTCCTACATAAGTAGCATTTGTTTACCTCAGCACAGACAAAAATCATTTGCTTTGTGCTTCTCAAAGATGGGAAAGGGCAGCTGTAAATGGTAACCTCCAAAACTCAAGTCTTGTGTATCAGTTATCACAAAAGGTCAGAGCAAGAAAATATGAGTTTCCATGGAGTTCCTAATTCCTTTGTTCTTTAGATGCAAAATATTGGAAGTTTGATGGGAAAATGCCACATTTTCTCTGGGGCTTGCAAAGAGAACTGCAGTAGCTGGAGATAAAATATTAAGCAGCACACGTTTGTTAGGACATTAACAACGAATCCACAGTAATGAATTTTGCTGTAGGCTGTTTTCCTACTGTTGTTTTCTTTTTCCATTCAGATCACGGTTCTCAGTAATTAAGTTTCCCTGTTTGGGATTACGGCACATATACAGTGGTCCAAAAGCTTTGGAGCATGCTTAACTGAGCCAGTAACACAGACCTTGAGGCAACAAACCCTCTGTTGCAAGCAGAGGGGGAAAAAACAACAAACACACAGCTGTCTAGACTCACTGACTGCTTCAGTGAGAAAATTTCATTCTGCAGTTTCCCTGCACAGATATAATCATTCGCCTCGCATTACTTATTAGCTCCAGACAAAGAAAATAAGGTATATATTTGGAAATTTGTAATATTTTGAAAATCAGTAACTTTTCGGCACTACAAGGCTTGGCATTTGGTGGAGTGCTTTTAATATAGGGCGAACATTGAACACTTGGTGGTTGCACACTAAATATAAAATAAGTTTTTAGCTGGGCAGGGGGGAAATCACATAAAGGCTTCAGCATATGGAACAGCTCAACTCTCATCTCTCCACACTAGTTTGGGTATGTGGAATGACCCATAGTAAATAATAGGTTTCTGAAGTTTTTTCCCCCTGCATCTGAGCCTACCAATATGTTTACTGTCTTCCTGTGCCACCGTTTGGACACTCCTCTGCTTTGCTGCTGCCTGCACATAACCACTTCCTGCGCAAAATCTGTCTGATTGTCTGTCTTGTAATTTCTAGTCTTGGTCAAGTTTGGCTTCTGTTTCCAACAGTTTTATACCGTACTTTTCAAGCACTGTGGATCTGTGCCAGCTACATGCATGGGTCTCCCTGCTTACCGTCAGACAACTTTTTGTCAACACTTCTTTGTTTCAAAATGGCTGCAAGAAAGTAGACTTATTGGAGAGAGAAAAAGTCAAATCGGTTTCCTGTCATATCTCACAATTTGAAATGGGATTCTGAATTTGATTTTGAGACAAACTGTGGGTTAGCACGAACTATATTTTGCTCAATCTGAAAAAAACAAAGCAATAGGAAGTGACCGTCAGTAGCAACTTGGGATCTGTATGTAGCTCTTGAATGTGCTGAACTGAACTGCAGATGACAGTTTCTGAGTGAAGTAACCTCGGGCTGACTCTGTCCATTCAAGCTGGCCGTTGGATTCTCCCTGGCAGGAATGAGTATAAGAGGGCTTTCCTTTCCTGTTGGGTCTTGCTTGCATAACATAGTCTTCCTGACTCCTGATGTGTTGTTGTACCCTTGGTTATGCTGGAAATGTAATAGCCAAGATTATCCCATGTGCAATTTAAGGGTTAATTTTGTTAGTGTTAAGTGATCTAGCCAAGAGGGCAACGGGGTGGGGGTGTTATTTAGGAACCAGGCAGAGTGGTGTGGTGTTTGCTGAGGCAGTTTGTGCCCTGATTGGCTGCGTAGTACTAAGGGAGTTTTCCTCTGTAGGTTTGGTGACTGTCTCCCCGCTAAGAAAGACAAAACCTCACTTTTCCTTTCTCCTCAAATTATACACTCTGTTCAGGTTCCCCAATAAAGTGCTATTACGATTTCTTTTCTCTCTGAACTATGTGTTACTTAAGTGAATTTGCTAACAGGCTATTCTTCAGGCTTGACTTCTGGCTTATTCCTCAGTCTCACTTTCTGGTTTGTCCAGCCTGTGGCCAAGTCCTGACAATGACAGAGGAAATTTAAGCACATGAGAGGAGGAGGAAGAGAAGGAAGGAATACATGAGCCTGAGAAATGGTGCCATTTATATAGTCCTCTTTATAATGTTTCCTTCTTTACATGTTTACTACTGCATGTTTCATTGGTCTAAATATGTTGTTTTTTTTAATATTCGGTTTTTTCTTTGATTAGTAAAGATTGATATCTAGAATTTCCTGATCTCAAAACTCTTCTTACAGTTTTACAGTCTCTGGACCAGTGACAGCACCCATTTACCCAGACTTCTCTTTTTCCTTTTGAGGTTTTAGATAGGACTCTAGTTACAGATCAGTAGAAAAGAAAGAAACCTTGGATGAATGGATTATATGAAGATTAGAGACACTGGTGTAGTGGTAAATTTTGAAAACCAGAAACCCGCTGTTACGTAGCCGTCATAGTATTGCTCCAAAGGAGAATTTTAAGAAATGCAAACCAAATGGATTCTCATACTTGCTTTGAAACTTATTATCACTTTATTCGCTTGCCAGAATAAGGAGGGACCATAAATTTCACAGGCACTCTAGTGAATTATGTCATCACTGCTGCTGTGAAAAATGTCCCACTGCACATTCCCCCAAATTCCCCTTCCGCTACACCACTGATTGGAGGTGCTGTTGTATACTGTCTTGCAGTATGTACCACTGCACTGCTGTATGCTGTCCAGCACTCATAAAACTACTAAAACGTATCTGGAGTTGTATGTTGCCCCTCTGTTTATATGCTGGAATTTATTTCTATTGATAACAGTTTATATACATGCTTCTTGTACAGTTTGCTTCAGTAAAAATGTTTATAATTCTTCAAGTATAGGTATGTTGCTGGCTATTGCTAGGAGTGCCTATTTCCTCTAATTTGATTGCTGTTGAAATGTATCAAGGTTACTTGCATCCCTGTGTGTTTGCAGTCCCATTTCAAAACCTGGCTGGCTGCCGTGGCAAATCTCCACTCTCATATATGTGTCCAGTTTTATCCTGTTCTGGCTACGGTCTGCTGAAAGACTGGCTGAAATGGCATGAATGAGACAGTTTGCACAATATTGTTCAGAAGTGAGACAAAAAATTCAAAATTTTCAGCTTTTTTTTAAGACAGGATGTTTTGGACAATGAATATTTTGCTTTTCAGCTTCCTGTCTATTGTAGAACTAATTTAACCATTTGGACACCCTTTGTGAGCGAACCAGCGAAGGCCAGGCGTGTCTCTATACATAATACTTATACACTGTGAGCGTCTTTCAGACTTTGTTTAGTGTGCCATTTCTTTCTGTCTGAGGAGCTATCTAGTTGGTGCATGACAGCTGTCTAATCTGCTTATGTAGCGAGGCTCAACCAGGTGAGGTAGACATGACAGTTCCTGTTGGGTGGATTAGAATGTCTGACATCAGGTCACTCTCTAAATTGAAAGTCTCTGCTAATACAGACAAGTACAGGGCAACGGAAAGCCCAGTAATCCCATGCCCCAGGCTGATGAAGGCTGAGCTAGTACCTCAGCTGCTGGTTTAACTCCTTCAGGCTCTTTGAAACAATGATTTTTTTTGCAGTTGGGGGAAGGAGGCCATTTGCTGCATTTGGTGTTGCAAACTGCACTCACTGAAGGGTGGCTGTTGTGTGGTTTGTCTGATTAAAGCTGGTTGTGCAAAACAGGATTTTCATCCCTTGGGAAATTTCAACCTTTCCTTGTAAGTATTCAGCACTGTTGAAATGAAAATGTTAACCCCTTACAAAAGAAGGAGAAATCTACTCTGGCTCAGTTTGGAAACGCTGAGTGGAGGTACAATTAAAAGACAAACAAAACACTTTGATCTCTGTCCCCACCCCCGCCCCTCTGTTTGCAATTTGTTGGCAAATTATATCTCTGATTGCAGCTGCCTCTAAGAACAAAATCCATAATGTAAATTCTAAGCTTCAGGTGCACAGGTCGGCATGTTTAATGGGCAGTTATATGGAATCTGTGACTTTAGCATAGTTGTGAAAATACCACAAGATTATTTTGAGATTAACCTCAGTGAAATGTTGCTCACTCAGCATTGCAACCTAAGTGTGTGTGTATGTCTTTGGGCAAAGGATTCCTGGGGGTTGGACTAGATGACCCTCACAGTCCCTTCCAACGCTACAATTCTGTGATTCTCTCACAGCATAAACTTCAGCTCTTTGATTTGCCAAAGTCCAGGAGTACATATGAAATTTCAAATAACAAAATGTAATGCTTTGCACAGTATTTCTCAAATGGAGCAGTTGTGATTCAGTTTAACCATCAAAAGTTACAATATGGACAACAGAGAATTGTGCACACAAAAATGCTATGGCACCTTGAAGAAATGAGCAATGAATATGATATTAGCTTTCATACTCTATTAAATGTTGTCTTGCCATCAAGGTCATGGCAATCTTTAAAATTAAAGGCATGGGGACAGGCTCTCTTGGATGAAACCAATTTTCTAGATCGGCTTAGGTACAATTTTGGTATGGAAACTGCCTTTGCTACCCTGTATGATGACCTTTGTCAGAAGAGACAGCTGGGCATTGTGTCCTTGTGTCACCCCCCCTTGATCTTTCAGTGGCTTTCAATACCATCAACCATAGTATTCTTCTGGAGCAGCTATCTGAGTAGATGCCACTGATTTGCGATAATTCCAGTTCTTCATGACCATGTTCAGAAAGTTATGTTTGACTCTGTGGAAACTTTGGTGTGGGGTGCCACAGGGTTCAATCTTATCTCAATGAGACCACTGAATGAGGTCATTCAGTATTTTGAAGTGTGCTGTCAGCAGTATACTGATGATACACAGCTCTGTTTTTCTTTCACATCTGCAGGTATGGCAGTGGATGTACTAACTAGACCAGTGTTTCCCAAACTTAGATCTCCAGCTGTTGTTGGGCTACAACTAGACCAATGTCTGGCCTCAATAATGGCCTGGTTGAGAACCGATAAACGGGGACATGACG